TATCATAATTTTAGCTGGAATCTGGTTATTGCATCCGTACAATTACCAAAAGTATTGTCTGTCTCGAGCCAGGCACGGAAAGATAACTGTAAGCTTCTTTTCACGGCATGTTGTATAGAATGTTAGTGCTGGGAATGAAGTCATAAAGCGAAAGTTAAGGGCGACTCCCGAATAATTATGGCCCGGAGGATTCTATAATGGTCCAAATATCGAATGGAAAGACGGTAGCTCGTCGAATTATACAAGATTAACGCCCGGTAAAGCCTTCTTCCTATAGTCAGTGATTCATCTGATCTGAGCCATCCTGACCCCCGGAAATGTGGTGTTAACCTGAAGGCAATTCATGGGAGGCGAAAATGGATGGAGAACATCCTGTGGCGTGTTCTGAACCAAATTCCGGTGATTTTCTCCCGCCTCGCCTCCACCAATCACCATCATTTTCAGCCGGATAAATGCACCTCGTATGTCTTTGAAGTGAAAACGCTATCAAGGTGTGACGATGGGTGGACATATTATTCGAGCCTGGAGTCGTGTTATAAGGTTATCCAATCTTTACCAAATTTTTCGGTCATCTTTAGGTCATTGGTAGTTGGATAGGGTTCCAATTGGACGGAGACCCGCGGTGAATGTCGGGGCATCGGGTCGGACCTTACACTCAATTTTCTCTGTTTTGTAATCTTATCGTTGCAGGTAGAATAGTCTGAAAACAGTCAAGCACCGAACAATCGAGGTTTTCATGAGAATTTTAAAGGGCTCGCCGCGACATACTTTGATGTGAATCATAACAGTCAGAAGTTCGTCTCGACTCCATACCTGGATTGGCCGGACACCCAGGGGGTATAAAGAGCTCTTCAACGATAAACATAATTAATTAGGTAGGGAAGGGCCAGATGATTTTGCATGGGTGACGGTGCAAAATTCAGTGTACTCCTTTGGCACCAGAACAGGTCCATAAGAACGTCAATGGCCCTCAAAAATATCTCAAGTAGACATTTTCCGATGGTCAATTCAGAACACCGTAGCATTTTTTCAGTATACCCTGTTATGTTCTCTACCAAGTAAGCTACCCTCTTTATGTATTGGGTCAAGGCCCGGCTCGGAAGGAAGAAATTTCGTATTGTAAATATTTTTAATCTTCAGTTTTAATTGGCAACTGAAGGACTATCGCAAGAAGGCGTTAAGATGGGATGAAGCCGACGAGTCCGCGATAGGCTATAATGCTGTTTGCAAAGAAGCCATATGATTGATCGTTCGCTTGGTACAAATAAATGTTTTATCGGCAACTACACACGCATTTTTAGTCAATCGTCGTATAGATATAGGTCTCCTTTACCGAATCCCGATACGAAGAAATGACAAATAACCCTGCTGTCTCTTTTTATAGCTTTTTTTTAGTTTGCAGCGCATAACTGTGGTTTCCTACCAACGAAGATTAACAAAATTTTCGCAAAAAAACTAGTATATATCATCGCAATTAACACTGTTTAGCTAATCGACTGTGTGCAGACTCGACTCGGCGACGCATCCGAAATTGAACAGCATCGCAACTGAACTCTGGCCCTGCTGTTTTTTGATACTTTTCGATCACCGCTGCAATATGTGGCAGCTTTGTAGGCAATAAACAAAAGTCTCTTATAAACGACCCGTTTGGTTCACTCCGGATTTCTCGATTTTCGTTACGACCTCCCCACCTCAGTCTCAAAATTCTTTTACATTCACCGTTGCAGGTTGCAAAGCTTGTTTCTCGCATTCTGCTTTTTCACCAGCGCCCTGGCATTCTGCCCAAGGGGTTCGGATTGGGATAGTGATCATCAGAAATGTTATCATGTGTCTCCATATGTTATGGACTACGAACAAGGCGTCGAATATTGCGAAAAGTAACGGCTTGATTTTGTTTCTTTACAGCCAAATGTCTAGTCTAAACATGGCAATTGCCTCCATTAGAGTCAAAAGGAAAAGTTGATTGATTTGCGGCAAGCAAGGAGGAAGGTTTCGCCAAGCATAACGCGTTATTATCCATTACAATGCACTACCGGGAATCAAAAAAACTATTTCTGGCTTGGCGGCTATTTTGATGGATCGAGGATTCACTGGAAAGATGGTAGTCAGTCAGCGGTTTGGGCGACTAATGGTATCGGTTTTACCCGTTAAGAAATGAAACGAGACCCGTCTCATTTCAGCAAATATTTCCAAGGTGCTCTGCTAGGAAATATCAAGAATGACAGGTTGGTCGGGTGCAACGGATTTGGAATAAATATCAAGTGGCCTATTTTGGTGTGGATACGGTATGGGCTGCCAATTTCAAAGCCAGATAAACACCGATATCCAGGAAAAACCGCGGTGCGACGTTGGATGGATGTATTATCCGAGTAGCAAGGGCTGTTATAAGGTTCGGTAAACTGGATATCATCGTTGTATCCATTCAGTTAATTGGTGACCACGCTGGCTTCACTTGGCCTCAGCACAAAGCCATTGTCAATCCATCCAAGCCAATCTTGGTCTATCCACTCTTTGACAGAAAATCTTGTTCCTTGCTGGTCAGCTCCCAGCTAGTATTATAGATTACGCAATGTTATCCCAGAGCTGGCCAAGACCTACTTCCCCGTCACCTCCGAACATCAAAAAAGAACTGGAAGCTACAATAATCAATATGAAACCCATTCACAACCCACAAACTTCATACATGGATTGGCGGCAGAAGGGTAAGTGTTCAAATTGTATCTATCTCCTCGTTAAACCTAGTTTGGACCAAATTCGACGACATTTTGAATGGATAGATGGCACCGTGTTTGACTTTTCGAATTGGGAAACAGAACGCCAGGATGTTTCAAAGAGTTATAGGACATATGTCAACGCATTTAAGTAGAATTTTAGAAAGCTAGGCACTTTTTCCAGCTCTACCCTGCACTGTCATTGCTCAGGTTGGTCGTTTCGTTTTGTTTTTGATGCCTTGTTGGTCATTTGGTCAAGCAATAATACTTTGAGATTTCTAGAGTGATGTGGCCCGGACAACTGATTTCCTGGCCCGCCGAACGAATTGGGATGAAGCCGAGGAGAAATCGATGGGATATAATGCGATTGTATGAAGATGGCATATCATTGAGGCTTTGTTCTTACCAACCAGTATCAATAAACCTGTTATTGATTTTTGAGCAGTGTTAACGAAGAATACCGCTTACAGAAAACGTTAAAATGGTTGGAAAACTACTTTCACTGAGCCGGAACTTTTTCAAAGTTTTTTTTATGCGTTGCGTACATCTGCACCCCCATCTCCACATTCCAAAATCCAAAAAACCATCGCACACTTCATCAGATGACGTCAACAAATCTTCGGAATTTCCCAGGAGCTCCCTCAGCCGCCGTAATAGATCTCATATGGGCGTTGTAAATTTTTTTCACCCCGGTCGATGAGATAGTGGTGATGGGGAGGGGGAAGGAGAAGCCGAGTGAGCTGGTCGGCAGACAAAACTTCCATCGAAATTTTGCCTGATTTATCGGTGATTTAAAAGACTTCGTTTTCATAACCCCAAAAATTGAAATTTTCGATTTTTGAAACTTCAATAAACACTTCTAGAACTCAACCTCGGGTATCCCGTCAATTTCTACGTCTATTAATGCGGCAATTTCTGATTTTATTTTCTCTACTTTTCGTGGAAAGTTGGGTGCGCTTCAATGCTTTTCAATCTAACGACTACTGTAGTTGATGGAAAAGCACAAAATCCGCGTTGGTTAAAGGTTGTTCTAACTTTGATTTTTGATGTAGAAATTTCATAAACTCCTTGTTTTGCATTCAGACAAAAACCAACTGCACCACTACGCAGACATTTTGCGTGAAGTACGTTCAGGATGGAGGGGATGTCAAGGTTGAATTTTTTCGACGGTTTGCGATTTTGTTAACTGATTATATTGTGGTTTGAAGTTAACCCGCCTCGAGTGCGCCGACGTCAATTTAAATCCGGAAGATGATGCGGCGTGTCAGGTACTTTAAAAGATCCAAAAAAAGTTGAAATTCCTCGAATTCGTTGCCCAAGTTTTCTAAATGATGATTATACTTAGTTTAATTGATCATTAATACCATAAACTTTCAAATAAAATTTTTTGAGGCCGCAACGCCTTAGGTTATTCAAATAGCTAAATTTTGTCGTTATTTTCAGCGTAGAATTTTCATAAAAGGACTTTATACAAATAAAAACTGACCATCCTACTACTATAGTTAAAATTATAAGTGTAATTAAACCAATTTTAATTAAGCTTATTTATGTGTAAAATTTATATTGAAAATCCTCAAATATCGAAGTGACGTCAAAAAATACCTCCTATTCACCTTAAAACCTGAGGTAACGCCTTAGGTTATCTCAAATAGCTAAATTTTTCGTTATTTCAGCGTAGAATTTTCATAAAAAAGGACTTTATACAAATAAAAACTGACTTATCCACTTACTATAGTTAAAATTATAAGTGTAAGTTAAACCAATTTCAATTAAGCTATTTTATGTGTAAAATTTATATTGAAAATCCATCAAATATCATGACGTCAAAATACCTCCTATTCACCAGTTAAACCATTTTTACCCCAATAAAATTCTAATTTTAGGCCAATTTAACTTCAAAATATAAGATATCGTTAAACTGGTCACTTTTTTATTCTTTTTATATAGGATTTGCCTAGAGCTATCCATCAACTTTTCAGAAAGTAGAAACCCGCCATCGTTACGAGGGCGAAATCAGTCACACGACAACCTGCTGCGATTCTGACCTGTGCAATCAGAATAATGGCTCTCAGGAAAGCCTCTTTTCGACTGTCACTTTATTTTGTGCCCTCTTCATTCCTGTGTTTTTCTCAAAATAAATAACCCTCAAACAATTCGAAACATTTCCTTTGTTAACACACCAAATATTATACGAAGAAACCAAGCAAAATAACTAGAGGGGGAAGTGAGATCGTTTTTGACGGACGAGCCCTGCTTTTCGTTGTTTTTCTTTTTCTTTTCGGCTGTTTAGTTCAACGCGCGGAATCCGAGGGCGCCAGCTCGACTGCCGAATCCTAAAAACCGGGTTAAGAAGATTTAAAATCCAATTTGCAAGCATAGTAAAAGCTTCGAAAGCCTCAAAAAATGTCGAACAACTCGAAAATCTTTCAAAGCCCCAATTTTTCTGTGGCAAGCGCCCAACTGCCATTCAGATATTACATTCGTAATAATTACTGTATCTGTTTTCTCTCAAAACCGATTAAAAACTAAATTAAATACGTCTAAAACCTCGTGAAACTCTTAAGATAGCTAAAAACCCGAAAATCATTCAAGGCCGCAATTTTTTGTGGAAAGCCTTAAACAGATAGTCAGATAAAGTAACTATGCCTTAAAATTGTTGAAACCTGCAGATTTAAAAAGTTATTACAAAATAAAGTTCATTTTAATTGATTTCCGGGAGAAAACGACTAAAAAAATCAGCTAAAACCTCTATATCGAAAGATTTCATAGCGATGAAACGCTGCTGATTCAAATAAGCATATTTTTCTCCCTACTTCCCATTAAAAATACTTTTAAAACCGGTTAAATCTGTTAACCAGTGGAAAAAGACCGCTTCGCGGCCCTTTTCCACTGGACCCGTCTGGGAATCATGAATTCCCTTTCCTTTTATTCAAGACTGTGGCGCAAGAGCCTGACCCAAGGAAACATTCATTGTCCCGGCGGCAGAGCCAGCTTTGCGCTAGAATCTTTGAGCCTCCGGCGCTAGTTACTGTTTTCCCCCCAGGATTTGGCCTGCGGCGCGAGAGCCTGGACCAAGGGCATTTTCTTCGCCTGCGGTGCGAGTTACTGGTTTTTCTCCGGGATTTGGCCTGCGGCGCGAGAGCCTGGGTCAAGGGCCCATCGTTGGCCTGCGGCGCCAGAGCCTGGGCCAAGTACCTTTTTAGCCTGGCGCTAGAGCGAGGGCCAGGCCTAAAACTCGCATACCAAGAGCCTAGAAATATGTTTTGTTGTTGAACTGCCAAAAGCAAAAAGTTAACTTCGGCGGCGTGGATTCGAGCCCGGGCCACGCGCTTTGTAGACCGGGGCCAATCCACTACACCACGGCGAGATGGATAGGAGGCGAGAAAGGCCTCTGTCTTCTGTCCTGGGGGCGGCCTCATCCCGGGAGGGAGGACTTCTGGTAACTTTACAAAATTCTCTTTTTGAGTCTAAATGCGGCGAAAATTTGTAAAAATAATAAGGTGCGCGTGATCTCCACTATCGAATACATAAGTGTTCCAAATTACAGCCCAAAATTCCATCTGAGCCTCGCGTTATGGCCCGGACACCACGGTTCATGGCCCATTTTGTTAAGGACTTTTAGAAAAATGCTCATAAAAACTTTATTTTACAAAATCTGACAAAACCCAAAATTATATATCGGGAGAATTCGATTTTCAATCCACTCTCCAAAAATTAGCGCCCAATTCGGTCTGGCAATCGAGATATCCTCTGAACAAACCTTTTTCGGGCCAGATGTTAAGTGATTTTTCACTATTTTGCTTGTAAAACCATTAGATATAGGAATTTCGAAAAACAAAAAAATGCGTCACTGACAAATGTGTTTCTCCACCTCCATGCCAAAAATCAGCTCAAAATTCGGCCTTGCGGCCGAGAAATCGGCTGTACAGAAAACAGACATACTTTTCTCGCTTATAGGATAGGAAACTTGCCCATAATCCTGTGCTGCCGGGAGCGCTTTGCCCATCCCAATCCATTGCCGTCGAGTGAGTCAAGTGCCCTGAAAAGAGACCCTCTCACGTGTCCTCGGTAGTATAGTGGTGAGTATCCGCGTCTGTCACATGCGAGACCCGGGTTCAATTCCCGGCCGGGGAGAAGCTTTTTGCTTTTTGGAATTTGGTTTGGAAATGGGCTCTCGAGCCGAATTATGGACACCATCCCGAAAAGACACCATCCCGAAAGACACCATCCCGAAAAATTTGCATGCGAAAACTTCATTAGCATAGAAAAATAGCCTTTTTCATAGTAGAGCTGACTTTTCGCACGCAAAATTTTCGGGATGGTGTCTTCGGGATGGTGTCTTTTGCCGATGGTGTCCCATCTACCCTCGAGCCCTGCCCAATGCTTTTAAAGTATTTTAATAATGTTTTTTCGATTTTTTTACCTCTTATCAAAGCCAAAACCAGCGCCATCCAGACTGCCAAGTGCTCGCTTGTCGAAACCGAAACCAGCTCCGTCGAGGCTGCCGAGAGCTCTAAAAAAGTCTTAAAAGTTTGTATTTTGTAGCTTACCGCTTGTCGAAGCCAAAACCGGCTCCGTCGAGGCTGCCTAGGGCTCTAAAAAATGCCATAAAAATTAGAAACTCAACTTTACCGCTTGTCAAAACCGAATCCGGCGCCGTCAAGGCTTCCAAGTGCGCGCTTGTCGAATCCAAAACCGGCACCGTCCATGCTGTCGAGTGCGCTAAAGTAAACTTATTTAATCGTATATAAAATAGATTGATGATATTTAATGAAATATTGCCTCGAAAACAGAGAAAATACATAAATTTCAGCCTACAAAAATAATGGTTCAATTTATTTAAATTTTAACGTACAAAAATTTGTTTTTATATATTTTATATACTTAATTCAAATTACCGTTTGTCAAATCCAAAGCCAGCCCCATCGAGACTGCCGAGCGCTCGCTTCTTCTTGAATCCGAAACCGTCCTCCATCGAGTCCAGGGCTCTAAAAATTGCATTTTAAATTTTAAATTTTTGCGCTAATTTTTCTGTATTTTAATGCCAATTTCGATCTCTGAAACATCCCAGCTACTTTCTAGCCACATAAAAAATTTAATTAGCCCTCTTCAATTAGCTAAACGAGCCGGCGGAGGCGCGTTGAGTTCTGGGTAATTTCTTGCAAATTTTTGCTCTCTTTTATTCTCTCTCTCTCTCTCTCTCTCTCTCTCTGTCTCCCTCTCTCCTCCAAAAGTGTTCATTGGACTGTCGCGTACTCGTGCCCGCAAAAATTGGATTAGCCCCTCGAAAAACCCCTAAATTAGGCACTTTTGAAGGTTGGCCTTTAGAGGGCAAGAATTGATGGATGGGCATTTTCCGGGCCCTTTCAGCTCATCCCATTTCAGAATAACTGGATTTTGAATAGAAAAAATGCTACCCCAAATGTGATATATAACTGCCATTTCCAGGAATACCTACACCCATTCAGCCAGGGAGCAGAAAAAGGCAAAAAGTGATGCGCTAATTGGGTCGAGGAGGGTAGCAGATGTGTATTTTGGATCTGATGGGAAAAGACGAAAAAATACAGCTAGAACCCCTGCAAAAATTTATAAAATTTACTTAATTGAAAATACGAAGTTCGAACCGTATAAAAACGCCAAGATCCTGAAAATTCGGCCAGAAATTCTCAAGCAATTTTTCAAAAATGCCTGCTAATTTTTATTTATACAAAAACGAAAAGATTAAAATCTGCGCAAAGTGGTCAACAAGGAATTTTGAGCTTTTAAAGCTTAAAAATTGGGAAAATTGGACCAAAAATGCTTGTCTTTTTTCCATAATTTCGAATGAATTTTTGAGATTTGGAGCATTTTAAATTGAAGAATTTGACTTTAAATTTGGATTTATAAACTCTAACTTTCTAGAAACCAAAATTACAAGCGATTTAAAATATCCGAAAAACTGACCTTTCGAAGGCTTCTCCATCTCGCCCTCGTCACTGGGTCGAACTGAAAATGCCGAGATTAGCAGAAACCTTCTAAAACTGTCACCCAGACAGTCCAAGAAACCGGAAAGTGCAAGGGTGGAGCTGTAATTAATTCCCTGTTCTACACCTATCCTACAGTACCCTCCACTCCTCCTTCCACTCCAAGGAAATGATTTCTCATCATTTCCCCACCCATTCCATCTCCAGTGACCGGATAGTTCTTACTAAAAAGCCACAGAAATATTTTGAATTCTGATAACTTCTTTCAATTTTTAATGTCCTGTGCAATAATTCCCGTATTTTTGCATATAATTTATTTGTCCGTGGTATTAATGCATCTCGGCTCCCATTCCATTCCCATCCAAACTATCCAGAGACAGCTTCACATGAGGCACTAGAAAATGTCCTCAAAAATGCAAATTTAGAGCTACTGTCCTGGAAAAAAAAACGAAAAATCCGAATAAATGTCCCAAAAAACCCGAAAAAGCAAAAAAAAAAACGGAAATCGGAAAATGGAAATCCCATTTCCCTGAAGCTACCGTATCCCAGATCTACAGTACCCGTCCCGTCCCCATTCTTGCGAGCATTATTGGGCATTCTGGTTGGCTTTGGCTGGGCGAGAAGTTTCATTTCTCCTCCCATTCCACCATCAAAAATATCCAATGAACGTTTTGCTTTTCCTAAAAATACCTCGAAAATGCAAATCTGAATCGACCGTAACCCCGTGAAAAACCAAAAAGTCAGTCTTAAAAACAGTATCTACCCGACGCTGGCCCCTTGCACTCGGGTGCAGTTTCCCATCTTTGCCCACCAACATTTCACCCATTTGCCCATGCCAAATATCCAATGAACGCTTTTGTTTCCCTACGAAATTGGCCACAATTTTAGCATGAAAGTCACAACATTTACCCGCCGAAGATGGCTTTTTGCATTTGCGATGCAGTTTCCCATCTTTTTGCCCACCAAAAAGTTTCCCATTCCTTCCCCAGATAGACTACCCAACGAACGTTTTCCTTTCCTAGAATTGTCAAAAATTGCATTCATTGCCCTGATTAAACTCTTTCACCTTACTTCAATGATATATTTATTTTGAATCTTAAACCCTTGATATACGTACCGTAACCAATTGCCCTAAAAATCCAAGTAAGAACATACCGCTATATGCGTGGGAGAGAGCAGCGACGATGAGAAGGAAGAGCACGGGTCGGATGAGGATATTCAGATGACTCATCTTACTGTAGTAGAAGAGGAGAGAGAGAAGGGATATTGTGATATGTCCCTCGAAATGGGTACCCGAGTCTAGCTGAAAAATATATATTAATTCGTAAAATCGCTTAAAATGGACTGAACAGCGTAAATTTGAAAAGAATGGAATATTTTAAAGGGACAGCGACAGCCAAGATTTGAGAAACAATGAAAAGTGAACTTTTAAAAGGACGTCATTGTCCGACACATCAATTTTTCAGGAAAAATTGCATAATTTTATAAAATTTTCGCAAATATTCACTGCTAGCCTGCCATTAGCAGCATATTTGCCAAACTGACTGCCAACTCGTATGAATCCGCCGAAAAATTTCGTAAAGAATCACTGCTAGCCTGTCATTGTTTCGTTATTAGCTAGACTGACATCCAGATAACCGAACTCAACTGGAAAATTCCACAAAGAAACCCTGCTAGTCCGTCCGAGAGTGGCAATCTTCAAACTGACAGCCAGTTAGCTAAAATCAACACCAAGTGACGCTTCAACCCCAAGCAAAATATTTTTCAACGCGATCAAAAACCTCCGCCCACTCGTTACTCAAAAATAAGGTGTTCCAGATCCAGAAAGGGGGGTTCCCTAGTCCCAAAGGTTTTCCCCGATTCCGTCTCACTCCAAATCCCAAGAATCCGTAACGAGGTGTCGAACGGAACAATTGACCGCCAAAAGGCTAAAAGGCTTTTTACGACTTTTTGCAACACCAAAAAACGGGGGCTAGCGTCGCCTACTCTACTCGCACCCAAATCTCATTTTATCTCTTATTAGATGAGGGGGTGTTGAGAAAGGGGAGAAAGGGAGTAGAGAAATTGAATCAACCACCCGGAACTGAGGGTATTTACGGGTTTTTGAGGATTTAGAGGGTAACTTAAATTCCAGTAAATGTTTTTTAAGTCCTGAGGCCTTTGAAAAGCTCAAAATCACTTAAAAATCAATTTCGAACATGCTAAGTGGCCTCGAAGTTTAAAAATTCACTGATTTTCTGATAGAACATTTTAGGAAACGCGCCATTTTGATCAGATAGAGTAATGTGTTTTGCCACTCCAGCAAAATGTCTAACTTTTACAAAAGAGCCATTTGAGGGTTGTGCCACTGACTGAGTGGGTGGTCCCCTACTATTCATCATCTAATTGGCCTCTCGGCCAGCCGGCATCAAATTTGAGCTCGTTTCGGCAAAACCGGCGGCCAAAAAAAGTAACGGGAAGGTCGACCAGTGCCGGATTACATCCATTCAGGGAATAGCACGTTGTTGTTTTTTCTAGGTAGGATCATTTTTGGGTTTAAAGGTGTATGACAACCGTGTTTTTCCCAGATTTTAGCAACGAACTGAATCGATGGAGATAAAGTGACATCCAGTTAGTAAAAATCAACCTGAAAATTCCGCAAGGAAAGGCTGCTAGCCTGCCTCTACCGTGCCATTGGCTAAACTGACAGCCAGCTAGTAAAAACCAGCTAATCCGCAAAGTATCACTTCCAGCCTGCCCTATACGTTTTTTTGGCTAAACTGGCGGCCAGCTAATCGAAATCGGAGGCCATTATCCCCAAAAAACGATGCTAGCTACCTCAAATTTCGCTAAAGCTACACCCGATTCCTCTGAACGGTCATCTGATTGCCAGCCAATGCCCTGAAGTCCCCAAGAGAATTCCGTAAATTCCCAAAAACCCACGAAAACCCAGACCCGAAAAACAGTGGAAATGAGGGGCTAATGGGGAAGAGGGGAGGGGAGATGATTTGTCCCCTCTTCTTTGTCTCTTTCTTCATGTCTAAATTCCTAGGGATGTGGATGGAAAGAATGGACACACACCAATAACAAATGGCCAAAGCAGGGAGGGGGAGGACCCACCAAAGATGGGCCCCAAGGGGACACTCTTTATGGAAAAGCAAATGACTCGTCACGGGTTGAAAAACCATAAGTAAACTGATGATGGCAATAGTCAACGTCAAAAACCTTGAAAATTTCCGCAAAAAACGCTGTTAGCACGCCTTTAGCATCTGATTGGCTAGACTGTCAGCCAGTCAGTAGGAACCAGTACAGAATTTCCGCAAAGAAACTATGCAAGCTTGCCCTTGTTATTTGATAGTGGTATCTGTCAAGCAGTTAGTTGAAACCGCAGAAAATTCCGCAAAGAATCATCGCTAGCTTGCTTTTACGGCTCGAACTGTCCAAACTGGGTCCCAGTTCGCATAAATACGCGCAACACTCCGCAAAGCACCAATGCTCGCATGTCCTAAGTCTTCTATTAGCTAAAATGACACACAGTTAGCAGAAATTTAAGCAAAGAATCGCTGCTAGCCTGCCTTTGCTGCTCCATTGGGTCAAATAACAGCCAGTTGGCCCAAATCAGCATAAATGTCCCCAAAATTCCCTGCTAGCTTTCCCTTGCGAGCTCAATAGCTAAACCGACAGCCAGTGAGTAGGAATAAGCCAAAATTTCCGCCAAGAAACACTGCTAGCCTGCCCAAGTATCTCACACACTGAATTGCCAGGCAGTTAGCACAAATCAGCCATAAATTCCGCAATAATGCTGCTAGTCTGCCTTTGGTACTCCATTACGTCAATTACCAGCCAGTTAGCCCAAATCCAATTAAAATTTCCGCAAAAAACTTTGCCAGATTACCCAAGTAGTACCATTGTTCAAACTGAAAGCCATTAAGATGAAATCATCAGAAATCTTTCGTTTTATACTGTCTACCCCCCGCCCACAACGACAAGAAAATTAATCTCAAAATTCTCGATTTCACCTGCCGCCCCACGTACTCATTTCTTTCGTATTTTCTTTCCCGTAGTTTCTTACCCCGAAAATACAGGTGAAAAGCACAAAGAAAATAAAAAACAAATTGAATTAATAAACTTTTCGCCGTAACACCTGGCTGGATAGAAATTGGATCATTGGTTTTAGTAAAAAAATGCAAAGCTTCTTGAAATTGGATTTCTGAGGTACAGTAAGATTTTAGGGATACTGTCTGCCAGACAGTTCACCGTTTTAAAGCATCATTTGATGGTTTATACATTCGTCTAGGTCACAAACTGCCGTCCAGACCACCAAGATTATACCGCTTTTGCGGGAAAACCCGAACTTTTTGGGTAAATTTTGGTCAATTTATTTTGTTACTTTTGATTTATGGCTTTTGATTTTTGCTCGAGGCGAGAAGTTTTTATTGCTAAATTTATAAAATGCTGCACTTTTATATCTATTGATTATGCTAGGAACATCGCGACTTTTTGGCCACTTTGAATGAGTTTGATGGCAAAACTTGCATTTTTACCCTAAAGATTGTGCTTTGTACTACTTTAGTAATTTTATCTTGTAAGATGACCGCCAGAAAAGCGATTTATCTATTGACTATTACCTTAATTTAATAACCTTAATTTAATATAATTTAAAAAATTTTAAGCACAATTATTTCGATTTTTTACCCCAGAGTTTCGAGAAAATCGTTTAACTTTAGAAAATCTTTTAAGGTTACGGTAACTATCAAAAACGCTAAACTGGCATCCAAAAAACATATTCGCGGTTGAAAGTTACCGTAATCTGCCCGAGAAAAATTCCAAAAACTACCATCATCTACCCTGACGTCCATTATATAGCCCTGATCTTTTAGCCATTTTTACCGCCACATGACGATTCTATCAAAAATTGGCCCGCGGTTCAGACTATAATTTGATGGCAATTACTATGCTAATATTGTTGCCAGGTTCCCGCGTGGAATTTTGGAAAAATGACAAAAATGGTACGATCATTTCCCTGGGGGGAAGAAGGGTCCAAAATGATGATGATGGGGGAAAAGCTACGAAAAACGCGATGAAGCCAATTATAATGGGAAGAGGGGGATTATTGGGGAAAATTGGCTCTCTGTTCTGTCTATACGATCAACATTTTATGTCTGGCTAGGCTCGAATTGACGTAAAATTGGTATAGAGTTTGACTTTACAAGGCCCTTTAACAACAAAAAAAATGGAAAGTGGAAAACAACTGAGTACCTTTAAAAGTACCATAAATTTTCCCGTCAGAGGCCCTTGAAAATTGTAAAAAGGAATATTATATTCCGCAAGGGGATAATATTCTATGGATTTTGCCTTCGCAGGTCCTGAAAAACGATAAAAGTGAGAAATTTCAGAAAATCCATAGAAATTACTATGGATTTTCCTTCACAAGTCCGTTAAATTCCAAAAATCCTTCGTTAGGCCGTAAATAGAGTTTATCCGGATTTTCGAAATTAGACGACGTGAGGCTGCACTATACTTGAAACCCTACTAAATTTAGAAAGATCCAATTTTAGCTTCAGAAGGAGCAGCAGCTTTAGACAGCTCATCCAATAGAAAGAGAGAGAGACAGAGAGAGAGAGAGAGAGAAGAGAGAGAGAGAGAGAGAGAGAGAGAGAGAGAGAGTGCTACCTTGATATTGGATGCTGAGGATGGCACCCAGCACGACATTTTCAAGGGATGGAGACAGCGAGATGGAGAGGCGCGAGAGCAGAGAAAGATCCAAGCCTCGAGCGAGATCTGTGATTAATGGGAGTCAATTTGGTGCGGGAGCAGAAATTTATGCGTGTTTTGCACTAATGTTGGCGGACTGGATGACGAGTTCCTGGTTTTAAAGGGAGAGTGACATCTACCGACGTAAGAGAAGAAAGAAAAGCAATAATTTCGAAAGATCTTGATTTTCTAGACCCGCCGAACCAAGCCAAGCAAGCCAGGGTCAGATTTAATTAGCGATACCTTTCTTCCGGTCGAAATCCAGCCAGATCCAAAGATCTTTTCAGCAAAAAGAAAGTAAACCCGGAAATATGGGGTTTTCTTCTTTTGGGTTACGGTAAGCATAAGCTGAATTTTTCCGAAATACGTAAATTCTAAAATTTCAGATCGATCTTTCCTTCTGGCTACCGTAGAACTAGATCCGAATTTTTCAGAAATCAATAACGTAGAAAATTCAAATTTTTTGGCAGGCTACGATAGACTCCGAAATTTCACAAA